CTTAATCTATAGATTACAGTGAATGGTATTCCTATCACGTGGTTAGTAGCCTAGCATCACGTGATAACACTATTCTACCATGTGACTGTAGCAATTATACTAAGGCATAGATACTTTATCTATAGATTACAGTGAATGGTATTTCTGCTTCACCCATCAACAAACCAGCACCATCACCTAAAGAACAGTTATACACTCGACCAGACTCCCCTTCTGACACCATCAGTGAACGAAGCGAGAACGACGAGAATAATCACCGCGACAGCGTCTGCTCCTTAGCTGTTGGTACTATGTTTAGTGTTGACTACGAGACGAGGGATGGAAGTGCTAAACACGGCAAAGACTATACCAGTGTTAAAGGAACTATGGTAAATACATATCTGCAATTTGATTGGTTTATTTCTATCACGTTGTCATTTACCTCAAATAATCCTCTTGGATAACACAATCTGTCCGCGATTTATTAATATTTATTGATAGATTTATTGATTATTAATTTTGTTTCGCATCTCAGAACTTCCAACTAGGCACGTCAAAGCACATCCTGAGAATCCCTATCATACAGCACGATGACTACAAAAATAAAGAGTTTTTCGTGATATTAAAAAAACCAACGCCAGCCAGCATCGTTGATCTGGGAGAACCAAGTTTGACTAAAGTAACTATCATTGATGACGATGGTATGTACATAACCGTGCCATGTAACAGTATTTTTATTGTATTTAGCAATATTCTGACGCACTACTCTCATGCAAACATCACTTCTGCCATACTAACCCTACTGATTTAATTGACCTTTTTCCCGATGATTTTTGATACATTTGTGAAAGTACTATTAAGAGCAGTCGCTCAATGTGGGTTTAAGGCTGTACTGGACATTTTACTTTCTATACACCGACCACTGCCCTAGGCTGAAGCAAAGATTTAATTAATAAATAGTTTACTACTCTTTTGTTTCATTCGCGTTTAAAAAAAATTATATTCCTGCTCTGAGCTTTCGGGTTACAAACCCATCGTTGTCCCCTGGACCCTAAGATCACGTGTGGAAAGCGCGCGATAAAGGTGATAAGTGGTAATAACCACGCACCATGTGTAAACTGTTCAAATACAAGGAAATCACTATTTATTCATGTGTTTTCAGAGCCGGGAGAGTTTTCATTTGAGCAAGCAAGTTATCATGCCAACTTCATGACAGAAGATGTGACGTGTACTGTTGTAAGACGTCGCGGATGTGATGGTTGTGTTACCGTTAACTACCATACACTGTGAGTAATGTGAAATAATTGGTGTAAATCTCGCTTTCTGATTGGATGGAAACGCGTGATTTACTTCAATAATGAACGTACTTTGCATCCAATATTCAGTAACGGGTTCAATCTTATCATGTCTCCCTGTCCGAATATTTGAGATAATTTTTCCAAGTTTTTCAAAGGTAGTCCATTGCGCTATTGCACGCCATTCAAGAGGGATAACTTCTGCTCTTAACAACACCGTCTAAACATTTTCTTCACTTGTCTTGATGATTAAGATGACAGTGCGCACGTGCTAAACCTGTCTAACTCATCCACAAAAAAGCAACGAAAAAATGAAATACATTCCAAGTGGTTCCTACAAAGCAGCTGACAACGATAACTGATAATAACCTAGTAATACTAACCATGGCTTGGATACAGCCAGACGAACAGGGGTAAGCAGGAAGTGTTTTTATGATTGATTCTGACCTGTTGGGTTTGTGTTATCGTTTGTATTTAGGAATGGAACAGCGACAGGCGGCACAGAAGAGCAGATTGAACGAAAAGAATGCGATTTCGAAGCAGTTAGTGACGGGGTCTTGACGTTTCAACATGGCGAAACTTCAAAAATGATTGAAATTAGAATTAATCCAGAATGTCAGGTAATAATCTTTGATAATACTTAATAATATCCGCATGTCATCTATTTAACATGTTGGTTTTCCCATTTCAGAATAAAAATTTTATTGTATTATTGCACGACCCGAGTCCTGGGGCGCGGATTGGAGAAAAATCAGCAACAGTCGCACATGTATCGAGTGGTAAGAATATGCGCCAATATGACGAGAACACACGACAAGTAAACGATTATGAAACGAAAGGAAACGACTGTAAAACGAGAATACTCGACAACTAAGCGAGATTACACGATTATGAAACGAGAGGAAACGACTGTAAGACGAGAGCACATGACAACATAAAGAGAACACACGACAACCCTATTTGCAGACTGGGTCTCGTTGATAACATTATTTGTCTTGTGGCAGATGTTGACGATATTGTAGATCGAGTGGCAAACATCATCACATCAGAAGATGAACAGAGTCTAACCAAGTCATGGCGGTCACAGTTTGAAGAGTAAGTTATCAACTGAATTATCTTCATCAATCACCATGGTGACAACGAGTCAACCATATATGGTCTTGTGCAACCTTAAGAATACCCTTGATAATCATTGATCACGTGGTACAGATATATTTAAATTGGATGATTCTTGTTCATCCATCACTATGGTTACCACAAGTTAACCATATATGGTCTTGCGCAACCTTAAACACTCTTATTCATTTCATATCATAGTATGGTACAAATATTAAACTAAGTGGTTTTATATTTGTAGTGCAATTGTAATTCAAGGCGAAGAAGATGATGATGGCAATATTCAACCATTGACCACCATGGATTTTATTCTACATTTACTAACAATATTCTGGAAAGTTCTCTTTGCATTTATTCCACCAAGGTATGGTTGTCAATCAAACCAGCATCATGTTGCAACAGCAGTTATGATTGAACATAAGCATACTTTTCCGCAATGCGATTGGAATGGATAGATTTGTGCATTTTGATTGGCTTACAGTGAAAAGTATTTGACAATAGTAGTGCGATGAATGGCTCACACATGCAAAGGAGAATAGTGTGAGGCATTTGCAAATAGATAAGATTGATGTTGAGCTGCTAAGCATTAATTCAGTTACCTTGAATCTGTTGCAGGAACGTTCTTGGTGGTTGGGCAGCATTTGTGTTCTCACTGGGATTTATTGCAATTCTTACAGCTATAGTTGAACAGGTAAAACTATGAAAAAAATATTTCAGTTATTTTGAAAATATGATCCTGACAGCTATTCTCTTTATCACATAATTTATCTTCACTTATCCTTACATAGCTTCCTAGCTGTGTTACATACAATATTGTCCCTACCCACCCCTCCCCTTATTATTGTCTTCAACCACCCCTCCCATATTGCAACCATCCACCCATCCCTCCCTTGCTGTGCAATATACCATTTTCTCTCCTACCACCTTTCCCTTACTTACTTCATGTCCTGTCTATTCCATAGCTTGGCAAGCTGTTAGGCTGTGTTGTCGGCCTCAAGAACAGTGTGACAGGTATCACCATCATCGCCATAGGAACCAGTCTTCCCGATACATTTGCCAGTAAAACAGCAGCACTGCAAGATTCAGGGGCTGATGCAGCAATTGGCAACATCACAGGTAAGATACTATACCCCAAGGTTATTCCTTTTATTGGTGAGAGATTCTTGTGGAGAGTTTACCATCCTAATGCCATCACCTTCCTGTGACTAACCTTCCTCTCACATGGTCTTGTATGTTTGCAGGCAGTAACAGTGTAAATGTCTTCCTTGGCCTTGGTTTACCATGGGTTATCAGCGTGTGTTATCATGCTGCTATGGGAACTAAATTCCGCGTATCCAGTGGCAACCTCTCATTTTCTGTCCTGGTATATACTTCTTGTGGTGCATGCTGTCTTGTTATTTTAGTACTGCGTAGAGTGGTAAGTAGTGGTCCTGTATTCCACTCCTAGAAAACGATATAATAACCTCTGTTTTATATCCACTGTTTAGTTTTTAGGTGGAGAACTTGGTGGCTCATTATTGACTAAATGGTCTACTGGCTTATTCCTGGTATTTCTCTGGTTATTGTACACAGTACTGTCCAGTTTAATGGCCTATGGTTACATACCAGGAACAATTTAATGTCCAGGAGTTACCATAGCAATAACCATATCCTGATAGCATGGCCTATGGTTACATACCAGCAACAATTTAATGTCCAGGAATTACCATGGCAATAACAATATCCTAATAGTATGGCCTATGGTTACATACCAGCAACGATTTAATGTCCAGGAATTACCATAGCAATAACCATATCCTAAAAATATGGCCTATGGTCAAATACCAGGAAGAAGTTGATGTCCAGGAAATACCATGGTAACACAGTCTACCCAATCATCTTACAGGTCACTCTAGAAATATGACATATGGTTACATACTAGGAACCAGTCAATGTCCAGGAAATACCATAGTAAGACAGTCTACCCAATAATATATGGTTACATACCAGGAAATGTTTCTTCTCCAGCCACTTGCCATATTGACAGTCTGTTATTTGAGATGTAATGGTAATGATAATATTTTGCAGGACAATCTAAAAGAAACAGAAATTTTTCTTGACAGAATATCATATTTCATTATTTATATTATTTATAAAAACGAACGAAATTGAACAAAAATGATCTATTTCTCCTCCACTTTAATTTTTGAAGAGAACTGAATCATAAGGCATGAAAATTAATCTAAAGGAATGATGTAAAGGAACAAATAATATGTTAAGGAAAAACTTTGTAAATCAATATTTATGAATAATTGTACATAGAGAAAGAGAGTCTGCAGAATACAAACACTAAGTGTCCAATTCTTTGCACTATTTAGCACTAAATAAACAATAAAAAACAATAGAATAAGCAAAAATTAGTACTATTTAAAGTGTGATTATGCCAACCAAGACCACGTGTTCTGATTGGCTAACAGTAATTTGTATCAACATTTGTTTGGGCAGCCTTTGGTCGTTTGTAGTTGCACTATAGTACTAGATGAAAATCATAGTTGTACTAATTACAAAATTGCACCAAAGAAACAATTGAAAAAGATGTGTTTAGTGCTATTTAGTCTTCATGCTATTTCATGGATATATGGTTTATGCACTCCATATATATCAATATATGGTCATACTATTTATTGTTTGTACTCTAGAGTGAGATTTGATATTATTATACATTAGTGTCAGTAAAGGTTGCTTTACTCAATGCTTCAAATAATACCCTTTAATTTACTGGTATTATTACGAAACCAATCATGCACCATATGCATAAATAACCTTTGTTGACACTGGTGTGTTTGAACCAGGCATTTTATATCGTTAAATATTAAAGTTTGATAGCAAATAAGAACAAATAGAGAATGGAGTATAACAAAGTGTGCATACAAAAATACAATGGTAAATATTTACCAAATGACAAAAAGTACAAATACATGTTAAAAATGAAAAAACATGCCTTCTCGTGGGTATTTTTTGTAAAGAAAGCTAATAAGAAAATATGTCATTAATAATTCATTGAAATCGGTTTAGTGAGCAGTGAGTAGTTTTTTAAAAGTTGTTTTAGGAAAAGATTTCTTAACAAGAGTGATAAAAATAAAAGAGACAGAAACCCATATATTGTATCATTATTTTTGATTCTGCTATAGTCCTCTTTACAGGTTCCCTACCCCAGCTGCCTACCCCATCATCAAGGTAGCCATGCCTCTATGGCATCGAAGTAGGACGAATGGTAAGCTTGCAATGATAGAGACATGTGAATAATAATTGTCCAAAGGCCTTTAGCATTGCAAGCTCACCATTGGTCTTGCTTCAATGCAAAGGCACAGCTACCTTTCAAGATGGTGCGGGGAACTGTGAAAGGGACTATTTCTCTTGTCTCATTCATACATCATCCCCTATCAAAGGACAATTTTATTACAATGACCACAATCCTTTTCAAACGTTTTATATCATTGCTTCATGGGAATAGTAAAACCACTGGTGCTAATTAACTGAATAAAAGAAAGTTTGCAAGGGATTGTGGTAGTTGTAGTATAGACAAACACCAAGAAACTATTCATAAACAGAGTGTATGTTCAATGTATTTAATAAATTATTTTGAGCTTTGAGTGTAGTTAGCACAGCAAGTAGATATAATACAATAAACTATATAATAATAATAATTACACGTAATATAAAAATACAAAACCTTCTTACTACGACTAGATAACTAGCGTTATAGGCATATTTAGGCTTGAACTAGCAAGAAACCACTAGCAGAATAGTAACAAATCTTGGCTTAGAAAAGAATATATATATACCCGGCCTTAGTTATGTGCAATAAGAGTTAGAAAAGTATAAAACTTTTGTATAATGGATTGCAATGCTCTATGTAATGTACCTTTGAGCTTGGTCCATACTTGGTGTGCGAGAATGGTACTTGATAGAATAATCAATTGATGGGCTTAATGTAATAAACATGGCTTATTCTCAAGTACCCATGCCAAAATACAGACATTGGTAAAGCGTCAAAGTAAAATGTCTACGATGTCCCAGTCGAAAACTGTAACTGTTTTGATGAATAAGTTATATGAGGTAGTGAGTGTGTGGATTAGTAATGGATCAAATAAATAGAGAGAGCAATAGAAAATGAGAATTGAATAAATACAATAGTCAACACACATGCCAAAAACACCCACTCACCAACAAAACAATACAAAATACCAGCTGACAACATGAATATAAATGTACAACTGTTTAAAAAACACACCATGCCATTACAAGGCAAGCAAGCGTAAGAAATATCTGGTTAGTTTGATAAAACTGGTTACAAAAACTAGTTGAACAATGTTCAATGATGAGAGAAGCTAGGGAAAGTTTTACAAATGAAATCAGCTCCTGTTTGCAAGACAAAAGAACAACCCTGATGTCATGATCATTATAAATCGCATGATTAACAATTTATGGCATAGCATATTGATGCTAACACTTTAAGAAATTATGTTCTATACACGAAGACACAGTCAATAATTAATGTGCAACTTAATGCATTCTAAGTTAGTCATAATCTAAGATTTTTACATGATAAAGATATTCTTAGTATGCTCGTATACAAGTTATAGCACCCATCAATCAAGTGCCAGATGTAATAATAGTATAATATAATATATAATATATTATACTCTGCCTGTAGCTCTCTGTTTTTATCTTTCAATACACTGCTGTATCTGTTTTATAGTAGCAGAGTCAAGCTTGCACAGATCAAAGTCTAGTGTTGTCTCAGTGATTATGAAACAGCCAGAGTGTTCCAGGATATCTGCTACTTTCTGTAAGCAGTTACCATCTTTAATGGATGACAACTGTTTGTGAAGGTGAACAAGGTCCATTTGAGGAATCTGGTGGCCATTTTTGCTTTCTTTTAACTTAGCTTTTGGACTGCAAAGGAAAAGAAAAACAATTCATTTTACAAGTTCTGGTATCTGGGGGAGGTACTTTTGAATTCATAAATTATCACCACCATTTTTCTTATCATCATCCTCATCATGACCATCATCATTATGACTACCACCATCGTAACCCTCGCTATCATAATCATCATGACCATCATCATCATGAACATCACCATCATCACCCCCACCATCATAATCATCATCATCATGAACATCACCCCCACCATCATAATCATCATGACCATCATCATCATGAACATCACTATCATCACCCCCACTATCATAATCATCATGACCATCATCATCATGACCATCATCATCATGAACATCACCATCATCACCCCCACCATCATAATCATCATGACCATCATCATCATGAACATCACCATCATCAC